CTAATTTGATGAATTAAATTAATTTGGTTAATATTTTAAATCCTTCGTAATTAAAGGGGTGCTATTGAGTTTAAATTCCTAACTTTTAATATTATAAGATTAAAAGTGATGATGTTGATCAAGTATGAGGTTTGGAGAAATAAGCGAGATGTTGATGTGGTATGGTATTTGGTTCCCAGTTTTACTAGTTGGGTTATGTTATCATAATATTACCTAAAATTCATATATGAAATATTTGAATTGTTTTGGCGGATTTTGACAAGAAAAGAGAAGAATATGATTGTAGCTCGTTTGGAGCAAATGGATGCATTGGATTAAAACAAGAATGAGTTATCAAAACTTTTATTTATTTATTTATTTTCCTTGGTTTAAATCGATGGGGTTGATGTTGATAATTGGAAAGTGAACACCGTGTTATATTTTATAATTATAGTCAAGAGAAGATTTTGATAAAATTGATTAAGTGTTGAAATATTCACCTATGCTTATGAGAATTATGATTCAACTTGAAGATCCCAAGATTTTACTTGCATGAGAAAAATGGAAATTTGATTCTATTTAATGTTTGGGAAGGGGAGGAGTTTTTGGAAAGATTGTAATTACATTTCATTGATAAAGATGAAACCTTGAACTCGTTTTGGTGTCATATGTTATTGCTATTGATGAACCTATTGTTTAAAAGTTTTGGATTTGATAACCGGTAGATGATTACCATGTTGGTATTTAAATGAGGAGATTCTTGGAAAGGTAAGAAAATGCTTGATTTTGGAAGTTTGTTTTATATAAAGAATATTGTCACTACAACAAAATGCACCTTTGGCGACTAAATTTTTAGTCGCCAAAAGTACGATTTTTAGTCACCAAATATTTTGCCCGACTAAATATTTTGGTCGCTAGATTGGTCGCGGGAAGCTTGTCGGGGAAGGTATTGGCGACTAAATATTTTTTAGTCGCCAAAATTCCTATAAATAGCTACTAATTTTTTAGACGCCAAAAATAAAATTTTAGTCGTCAAAAATCTTATTTTCTGCTACTAAAACTTTGGTTGCCAAAACTTGAAGTATCTATGGCGACGAAAGTTTTAGTCGCCAATGAGTTTTTTCATCTTTTTATTTATTTATTTATTTATTTATTTTAGCTACTAAATATTTAGTAGCCAAAAGTTTTTCTCCATTTTATTTTTATTTTTAGCTACTAAATATTTAGTAGCCAAAAGTTTTTTTTTCCATTTTATAAATAAAATTATCTATATACTGATAAAATTAGCAACCATTCCACAACATGCACACATTTCACTTTCAACCATAAAAAAAAAAAAAATCATATCTAACATCAAATTAATATTTCCAAAAAAAATTCCATACAAATCAAGTATAATCCAATCTCAAAAATATAATTCCATACACAACAGAGGATTAAACAAAATTAATATCCAATTGTTAATTTGGCAAGAAATTAACTAACAAAAACACCAAAAACATAAAAAAAATAAAGGCCATAAAATAAAATAAAATAAAAAAAACTAGTGATGAAGCCAGTTGCAACCCCCAAAGCAATTATCGAAGCAAAGTTGAAAGTTGCATACATAAATTAATATAGATCAGTGACACAGATCACAAACAATTGCTAACAAAAGATAGCACAAACAGATACATAGTCACAAGTGTATGAAATCTTTTAAAATTCTCACAGATACATAGTCACAGATGCATTAAATGGTGAAGAGGGACTCTGACTAGAAAAAGAAGGTGCCGATGACCCTCTCCCAAGCTCAAACACTCCATCAACAATAGAAGAGAAACTTGATAGCAGATTTCCAGAACTAAGCATAGAACCTTCGACGTTGAGCTCAGAGAGAAGACTAGACTGTATAGCAAAGGAGTCTCATCTTGATGTAGAACTTGCATGAAAATTCAAGATACTTAGGAGATCCATGAAAATAATCGGCCATAATTCATGAAACTGAAGTGGTGAACTCAAATATACAATGCTAACCAACCTGCAGTGTACACACTGTATCTGTTGAGGAAAATATCGTTCCTATTGCCGAATCAAATTGGTAAGAAATAAGGTTGAGCCAAAAAGTTATATGATAAAAGAAATGTTAGTACATTATCATGGCATGTTAAACCAACACCCAAGGAAGGCAAGATGGATAAGGATCAAACCAAGATAGTCACAAGGAGTCAACCCAAGAAACCCAATCTTAGGGAACATCCATCAGCTGCCTAAATAATAGTAACATTCAGTAAATTAGAGACCACGTAGAAGAAATTAGTGTGTGAAAACACACAAGAAACTTATCGAAAAGGAAATTACATCTGGAATAAATATGAAAAATAATGTATGACAGATAAATATATCACCAGCCATGATAATGAGTGTTGATATGAAAACACCAACAACTCCAAACAGCAAGATGGTTAAGAAGTTTTGGAAGAACTGTTTCTTCTTGACTTGAAATCTGTTGAAAGAGCTAGAAAAGTCACCCACTGATACATTAACACAACCATTTTGATTTGAATTGGTTCAAGAGTATTCATACTGAATAAAGGGAAGTGGACTTGATTTTGTCAGTGTGCACTAATTAATTTATTTGAATGACAAAAGTTGCATTAGTATTCATACCCGGTGGAAATTTTTTGTGGCTTTCGCAATCTCTTTGTAGCTAAAGCACCTTAGCAAAGGTTGCTGCTTTTCGTTGTTAGATAAGACGTCATTTCTTTTCTTGCATTGAAATCAAATGATGATCATAGGAAAGAGGCAATACGCTTAAAAGGCGATGGTCAAAACAGTGTCATTTAACAAACAATTGTATGAAATTTTTTAAAATTCTCACCTTAGTCACAAGTGTCATTTTCTAGTAAAATATTGATAATGGTAACTAACAAAGGGACCACATTAAAACAAAATTGAAAATGTCAGGTTTAAATTGATGATATTGAAACTACGTGAACTAAAGTTAAACTGTGACTAACGATATTATATTTGGTGATCGTCTTGATATTTTGAGCAGGTCCAAGAATGGTTCTGCCCAAAGGAGTGTATTGGAAAGCAGTTGCATGCAGATGGTCAAAAATTACTTCGTCAGTTTGCCCTTTGACCTATAATAAATAATAGGGACATGCACCAATAAATCCCAAATCCTTATCTTCTAACCCATTTGGTCCTATTTTTTTCCTTATAATCCAATTAGTCCCAATCTAGTGTTAATGACAACATTACCCGTGTTTGACTCTGTTTACCACCTTCTAGTAAGGGTAATTGAGGAATACTCCAATGTGGATTTTACTGAAATGCCCAAAGTCCTTAATTTGTTGATCTTTGTTTTCCCTCGCAGCAGATCGGAAAACCCCCACAATTGAAACCATTGCTATGGCAACATACCCAGGAAAAACATAACAAAAACACTTTTTCTTTCCATGAAATTGCTGTAATTAATCGAAGCCATCCCACTGATAGATCGTAGACATTTGGGGGGGGGAAATAAAATAAAATAAACAACCACGCACTCGTTTGAAAATCTTCCCCACAGCAGTGTAAACACAGCAATCCAACACCCTGCACTGTACAGTTATGGTGCGACAAAAACGGTGGCCAACCGGGAAAATAACGCCCACCACCGGGGAAAATGGTGCTCACCGTTTTCTGTCTCCAAAAACCAATGGTGAAAGACAATGTTAATGAAGGAGAACAATGGTAATCAATTATCAATGATGAAAACAATGTTAATCAATAACCAAACAATGTTAATCAATAAAAAAAACAGTGGAAAAAATGGCCATCAATGAACATGGTGGACACCGTTTTCAGACAGATCACAGAAATGGTGAAAAACAATGTTAATAAATAAAAAATCCCCACAAACCATTAACATTACCTAAACCCAATACAAAACATAAACAAATGTTTAAGGGAGTAAACATGCAAAGGGTATTGACCGGTAAATATGGCACTCACCGTATTCTGACTCCCAATAACAATGAAAACAATGGTAATCAATGCCCACAATATGTTAACATTACGGAACCAGTTGAATGTTAAATGAAACAAACATGGAAAGGGTATAGATGTCAAAACAAATAGAATCAAATCACACCTCAAAAAATCTGCCAATAAAATAGGACTATATGGTATACAAAAGAACTTAAAGGACTAAATGGTTTAACTTTTCTGTAGATAGGATTTATGGGTAATTTTTCCTAAATATATACAAGCATCACAATAAAAAATCAAATAAGTAACGACAATGCAATTAAAATTTTTTGTAAAAACAAAATATAGAGATGATTTAATTGATGAAATCACGAGACCACAAATGAATACGCAAAGGCATTCATCATTCAGAAAACTGACTCGATCAGCATTTATTGGTACATCAATGCAAAGGGTGGAAGAAAGTAAAGCACAAGGAGGTCAGTCACACTAAGGCATTTCTTTCAACTGCTCAAGCAACTAATAGCAATTAATAGAACTCATTGTATTCCTTTTTCTTAAATCAAAACATTTTGATCATCCAACAACTCCTTAGTGTTTGCGTCCCCTTCTCATTATTAAAACAATAACTACCTTAACAAACTATTATTGGCTCTTATTCCCCATGCAACATAGGCTTTACCGTTTCAATAAAGGTTGAGACCCCCTTTGGGGGTCACCCCCTTCACCCCCTTTGCATTTGATTGGCTAACTTTTCTTCTTTTTTTTTTTTCCTGATCTCCCAATCCCTAACCCCCACGTGTGTGTGGGGGTGGGACTTTTAAGGGGGTATGAATCATTGCTCTTACCGTTTACCCTGTGAATCATGATGTGCCTTTTCCTATTGACTATATTCTTTACTAAGATTAACACCAATTCTAATAATTCTCATACGCAATTTACGCCACCAAGGGCTCATATGGTCTATAGTGCAATGGCTTTTTACATCAAACAATTAGAATATAGAATCATTCCCAGAAAACAAATCAAATTATGAGGAAAATTGAAGCAAAACACAAACTTTATCAAAGAATGAATGTTACTACCTCCTCCATCTCCCTCAAAATGACATCACACTCCCGAGTAATCCGATTCTCATCAAACTTAGAGTTCTGCAGAATATCGGCCAATATATCTAACGCTTTAGGCACATCATTATCCATAACCTTAGCATAATAAGTAATCTGTTCCCTGGAAGTATAGGCATTGAGATGTCCCCCCATATTCTCAATCTCCTCCTTCAATTCCCTGGCAGTGCTCTTCTCAGTGTCCTTGAATATCATATGCTCCAGAAAATGAGCAGTGTCGTTGGTCTGATCAGTCTCGAACTTGCTTCTGGCATCAATCCAGACTCCGACGATGGCGGTCTTGGCGGAGAGGTTGGACTCGGTGGCGACTCGGTAATTAAGGAATAAAATGAGTAACTTCTTGGCGGAGAGGTTTGATTTTAAAGGGAAAAGCGTGATAGCTCGAATTGGAGGGAGCTTGAATGGCCGAATGGGTGTTGGCCGAACGTTTGCCCGAACGACTGGGTGAAAGATTGTCTATCGCGGTTGTCACCTTTGTCGACTATGGCTGTCAACCTCCTCGCCGGACGACCACCTAGACGTCCACCCAAACGACCGACAAGGTGAATTTCGAGCCATTCGAGCCAACCTCATATTCAAGCTACCAAGCAATTGCTCGATTTTAAATGAGTAAAAATTTGTTTTGATATGGGTTATTCCAATCTTTCATTAAATTTCAACAAAAGTTTTTAAAAAATTACTTGTTCATCTTAAACTGCTTAAACCAAGTGGGATGGTTTTCATCATGGCCGAACTGCCATACGACCGAGATAAACCTGGCTATACCGAGCCACCGAGTAGACCGAACTTATCCTTAGTTTGGTTCTTGCGTTTACCCTTTCCTATCTCGGCTTTCCATGTAGAACCCATGGTACGGTTTTAGACCGAACCAATGATTTTCGGCCGGTGTAACTCCAAAACCGACATAACTCCAAGTCGTTCCTGGACCGAAGTATCTTTACAATCCTTGAGCTGAAGTAACTTTATCTCTCTTGGCCGGAGTAACTTTATCTCTCTTGGGCCGAAGTAACTTTACGGCCTTTTTTACACAGTCCTTCGTACTTTGGGCCACAAAGTCCATCTCACAGCTCGGCCCAATTTTCACCAAAAATTACCCTCTCAATTAGAATATAGAATCATTCCCAGAAAACAAATCAAATTATGAGGAAAATTGAAGCAAAACACAAACTTTATCAAAGAATGAATGTTACTACCTCCTCCATCTCCCTCAAAATGACATCACGCTCCCGAGTAATCCGATTCTCATCAAACTTAGAGTTCTGCAGAATATCGGCCAATATATCTAACGCTTTAGGCACATCATTATCCATAACCTTAGCATAATAAGTAGTCTGTTCCCTGGAAATATAGGCATTGAGATGTCCCCCCATATTCTCAATCTCCTCCTTCAATTCCCTGGCAGTGCTCTTCTCAGTGCCCTTGAATATCATATGCTCCAGAAAATGAGCAGTGCCGTTGGTCTGATCAGTCTCGAACCTGCTTCTGGCATCAATCCAGACTCCAATGGTGGCGGTCTTGGCGGAGAGGTTGGACTCGGTGGCGACTCGGTAATTAAGGAATAAAATGAGTAACTTCTTGGCAGAGAGGTTTGATTTTAAAGGGAAAAGCATGATAGCTCGAATTGGAGGGAGCTTGAATGGCCGAATGGGTGTTGGCCGGACGTTTGCCCGAACGACTGGGTGAAAGATTGTCTACCGCCGTTGTCACCTTTGTCGACTGTGGCTGTCAGCCTCCTCGCCGAACGACCACCTAGAGGTCCGCCCAGACAACCGACAAGGTGAATTTCGAGCCATTCAAGCCAACTTCATATTCGGGCTACCAAGCAATTGCTCGATTTTAAATGAGTGAAAATTTGTTTTGATATGGGTTATCCCAATCTTTCATTAAATTTCATCAAAAGTTTTTAAAAAATTACTTGTTCATCTTAAATTTTATTATTCTCTCCATTCCACTCAAAATATAAGTCTTTTTTTAAAAAAATTAAGGAATAACATAAATTTCTTATTTTATGTTTTTTTTAAAATTTATTAACATAAAAGTATAATTATGATAATTGATATTTCCTAAAAAATGTATTGTACTATCAAAGAGTAATTTTGGAAAATTAATTTTTTTTAAATGTAATAATTGTGTTACTAAAAAAAATTAAATTCTCCAAAATAGACTATTATTTTGGGACGGAATCAAATTTAAAAGGAAAAAGCTTATTGAAAATTTAGTGCTTGCTTGGGATAGTCTATAAAAAACAAAAAGCCAAAAAACTACTAACAAAGTCAAAAAGTGATCACTATTCACCAAAAAAAGAAAAAAAAATACAAGCCAAAATTGTACCCACCAGTGATGGTACAAGCTCACGTGTGGGCCCGTGGGATACTTTTCATATATCTTATGAAAAAACTTAGATATATATTCATCGAATTAGTGGGTACTGTTGGGCCCGTGGGGAGTCACCACGGGTCTCGTTTCGATAATCTGAACCGTTGAATGTGTAGAATTGGTCGAGTAATATATGTTTGTAAAAAATCACGTTGATCGGATATCAATAGCTATGTGATCGAATTAGATTTTTGTCGGCCTTTTATTTTTCATCGTCCATTTTTTTACAAAACTAATTTGATCACATAGCTATCGATATCCAATCAACGTGATTTTTTACATCCATATAGTACTCGACGAGTTCTATACATTATCGGTTCAAATTATCGAAATGGGACCCGTAAGTACCCTCCAGTTCAACGAATATATATAGGGAAGCCTCATCCTATATGTATATATATATATATCTCATTTCAAAGTAATCCCTACTTGTTCCTTAGAACATCAATGTCAGTACGCATAGGGCATAGGGGTACTACGGTAATTTTGTTATTTTATAAAATATTTTAATACACATTTTTTCGTAAAAAGTCAAAAAGTTATCTCAAACAATCATCTTTTTTTCCCTACTTTTTTATTCAAAAAGTCAAAAAGTGCATTTATATAATTCATCCCAAACAATTAGTGAAAAATTTGGTTCATCCTTAATTTGACAAAAAAATTGGCCGTGTTTGGAGAAGCTCTCTAAACACATTTTCACCCATTGATTTCAGTGTGGTATTTGTTTTGAGTTTTCAAATTATAATTTCACACCCACTTTTGAAAATTCCTTTCTAAGCGGGAAAATTTGGCTAACCCAGACGTCTGGCCGATTGATCGGAATAGTGTTCAATTTGTTTTTTTTTTTTTTTTGCACCTGTTATTTTTATATTCTAAATAAAAAAATATTTCTAGAATTTTTTTTAAAAAAATTATGAGCTTTGAATAGGATTTTGGGTTATGTGTTTGGTTATGAGTTGTAAGTTTTTGAATTAAATATCATATGTCACATCATTCATTTCAAACTCAATTCAAAACTCTTTTCAAAAATCATAACCAAACAAATTTTCTGCACTCAAATTATAATTCCAAAACTCACAAACTCAAAATATAACTCTATTCTCAAATCATATTTAGAAAATTCTACCAAACGCTACCTTTGTTTCTTCCTTGATTTGATATAAGTTTGTTAAAATGATTAAATTTCATTTTCACTAAAATTTTTATTAAATTTCAATTTAATGAAAGATTTGATCAAAAATTGGAAATACTTATAAGTAGGAGGGGGTGTGTGTGTATATGTGAAAAAGGAAATTATTCTTTCACCCGGAGGTGAATTAGAGGTTGTTTGGAAAGTTGGATATTAGCACATATTTTTATTTTTTTTAATTTTTTTTAGTTATATTATCTTTTTATTTTTTTACATATTTTTTCATAAAAAATTAAAAAATATATTATCCCAAACAATCTTTTATTTTAAGTCCTCAACCAATGAAATATTATTAGTTGGGTAAACTACCAATAGGTCCTAATAATTTGACTTAATTCCCATCAAGTCTTATTGAAAATAAGTCTTGGTAAAATCATCGCTAAAAATAATTTTTTTGTGACGTTTTTTTACATATGTCGCTAAAAATTAACAATTAGTGACTTTTTTTTGTCATGATTTTTATAAATTGCCGTTAAAACTTACGATTAGTGACTTTTTTCTGTGACGAATTTTAAATTGTCGCTAAAAGTTGTGCATTAGTGACACTTTTTGTGATGATTTTTTTAAACTATCGCTAAAACTTATAATTAGTTACATTTTTTGTGACAAAATTTTCATATTGTCGTTGAAAATTAACAATTATTAATATTTTTTAATAGTATTTAGTGAAAAATATCATTAATTATTTTAGGACCTATTGGATAATAAGTCCACTTATTAGGACCTACATATAAGTCCCCTTATTAGTTTTGTTGGACTTATTTATTTTGATGATTATTTTGATTCCTTATTTGATTTATTTGGAAAAGAAAAATATATTGAAACTTATATTTTATTCCATTATTTTTTTACCAAAATTCTTATTCTAAATATATTTTTGGAGTAAATATATGCTTAATCAGGTGATTATTACAACCCAAAAACAGAGTCCAAATCAGCCCAGCACAGCAGTTCAAACTAGTAGTTCAAACAGTCCAGACCGGACATCCAGGTGGACGACCGGCCAACGGCTTTTTTCTCAATTTTTGCTTTAGTTCAAATTTTCTTCTCACCGATTGTCAACCCAGCAGTATCCTCGACATCCACAAAAGTCATCCTTGACGACTGGACTCCACCAGACATCTGGGTGGACATCTCTCCAGTCGTCTCTGTCGCCTGTGACATCTTCTTCTTCTTCGTATCAATCCAGCCATGGCGACTGCGAAATCGGTCAAGGACGTCTCACCTCACGAGTTTGTGAAGGCTTACTCCGCCCATCTCAAGCGATCAGGCAAGGTATAATGTCAAATTGTACACTGATAATTTCTCTGTTTGGATGCCGTGAAAGTTTAAGGAACAGACAACTAGATTTTGGCTTAATAAATATAAATTGCAAATAAACTAGTTGAATCCAACCTGTCAATCTCCAATGTCAATCAGACATAAATTATTGTTTTAAAAAAAAAAAAAAAAAAACCTTATGAATGTCTCAATTTACTCATCTTGCTGCTATCTTCTTCTGCTTGGTATTCGCACACTGATCATACACATGTAATATTATTTGGATTGCTATGATGGATTTAGTATTGGACTTTGAACCATCTCCCTTTTGCTAATGCTACTTGTTTCCTTGCTTAAAACCTTGCATTTAATTTGGGATATGGCTATGCATTCCAATTATATGAAAAATGTGCAAATGCGGAGTCTAATTGTGGGAAAATTGGAATGATACACTAAACGTTAATATAAATGTTCGTGTGTGTATATATATATATATATATATGTTTCTATGTGTTGTTTGTGTTGTTGATGAATGCTTTTTATAATCAATAGATGTTTAAAGTAAAACGTTTCTCTTGGTGGACACATTATGTACCGTATAAATGAAAATTATGCTTTTCCGTTGTAATTTTGCTGCTTAAAGGAACATTATGATATGTAATTGATATTTTTTGAAGTGATATTGTTTGGGTTTTAGACATTGTGAAGACTGGTAGGTTCAAGGAGCTTGCCCCTTATGATCCAGATTGGTATTATATCCGAGCTAGTAAGCTCTCTCTATGGGTGAGTTAGTGTGTCGGTGAGAATATGCTTGTTCATAATTATGTTGGTGTTGCATGAATGATTTGAAATTTGTTGGTCATTTATTGTGACGTAGATGGTTCCTGGTTATTTATTATCCAAATTTTATGGCAACTTCCATGTCAAGGAAGATATACCTGAGACAGGGTCTTGGTGTTGGTGCCTTCCAAAGGATTTATGGTGGAAGTAAGAGGAATGGAAGTTGTCCACCTCATTTCTGCAAAAGCAGTGGGGCTGTTGCTCGTCACATTCTTCAGCAATTGCAAATGATGAACATTATTGACATTGATGTGAAGGGGTAAGCTAATGATTTACTTTGCGAATTATTTTATTTATTGACTCATTTATTTCATGATTATGTGTTATATTTAATATCCAGTTTGGTGATTATTAACACGATGCTTTATCTTCATTGGACATACATGTGAATCAGTTACAAGCAATATGTAATGCATGATTTTCTTTAAGCATATATCTTATTGCTAGGTTGTCAATTAGTTCGCTAATTTATTATTTTATTTTATTTTTTATTTTTTATTTTTTTGTGGTTTGGATGTATCAGTGGGAGAAGAATCACATCCAGTGGCTAACGAGATCTTGACCAAGTTGCTGGTCGGATTGTGGTTGTCCCTTGATCAAATGAATCAATGAGCTCTGCTACTGATCATTTTGATAGTCTCTAGGTTTTAATTTTAGTTGGTTGAAGAGAAGTTGCTGTGTTTTCTTTCAGAACAATTTTTTGGTCCCAACTATTGAGTGTTTATGAACATGTTTCCATTTTGTTTTCTTTAGCCATTGATTTTTTTTGATTTCCAAGTGTATTGCTATGCCATGGTGCGCGATGTCAGTTACTTGAGGCCTAAAATCCCTACGCAAGCAATATGTATTGGGAAATTTTTGATTTATGTCACCTTTTAAGTTCCATTTGAGGCTTGGAATCTTAGTTGAAATTGGCTGAGAACTGCAGATTCATGGTTTATTTTTGTATGCTCACTGTGATTACCTCTGTATGCTCTAAATTCCACTAATCTAGTTAAAAGATCAGACTTATCAATTCCAAGTTAAATTAAGTTATTTGCATACACAAAATGGCTGCCACAGGCAGTTATCACCCATCGCGAACAAATGAGAGGTCTGAGGTTTTGATTTTGGCGAAAGTTGGGGTGGCATTGACCGCTGTTCTTTAGCTTGTGAAACTAACAGAAAGATTCTTTAGCTTGTGAAACTTATAGAAATATATTCTATCGTAAATTACCAGCTGCCAAGTGTGGAATTATAATTTTTTATTTTTCAATACTATCCTTATATACTTGTATCTTGTAACATTTTCAATACTATCCTAAAAACATAAGCCATCCCAATGAGTCAAATTTTATCCTGTGTTTTTTTTCCCTTCACAATTATTGTATTTTTAAATTAAGTTTTGTAAAGGAGAATGCTTGATAAAAGTCATTTCGATACATTTGAGATTTTGTCACCAAATGTGTACTTACATGGTGAAAGCACAAAAGCACTTTATGATTTTAAAGGACTTGTTAGATGAACATATACCAAACATTCATTTTCTCTAAAAAGTCAAGTCTTATGAAGTTCTTCTATAGAGTTGATAGGAAATGCCACAAGTATATAAGGACCAAACTTTTCAAGAGAGAGTGAATTAGAAAGGTCACAGGCATATTAATCACCACCTTTTCTTTTTCTTTTTTTGAAGGTGGTGTGAACTAAACTTCATTATTCTTGTCCTAAGTCCTAACTACCCAAGTTTACCTTGTCTTACACAAGAAGAAGTCAGCAAAATGTGTATATTGAGATTGTGCTAAGCAAATATATAGGCTTTGTTTGGATTTCTACGTGATTAGTCTAACCAACGCGTATCTAAAAAAATTTCAAACAAACAAAAGGTAAGAGCAAAACTTCAAATAAAGATGCATACATGACTTGTGCTTCAAAGATTGAAAAAAGAAAACAAGGTAAATAACAGCACTAGAGAAATGAATGATTATGAGATGTGTGAGTGATTTTCCGATCACACTGCCCAACTTAGTACTCAGCTGGAGAACACTAGCAGAATAGATGACGCCTGGCTAACCTGCAACAGAAAGAGAAGATTCCGGCGGTGGTTCGTCCACCCGGGGGTACTCCGACGATCAAGTTAGTATATCTCTCAAAGATAATCAATAGTGCAAGACTCACTGTACTGAATATAAATTGAGTACCTTAGACCCACGGGGGTGCCTCTCTTTAATAGCTAACTCAATCCTTATCCCAACAGGAACCTAACTCTAATGGACTTAGGATTACTATCAATGTTGGACTCCTAGTAGGATTGGGATAAACTCTCTAAGAGTCTTATCATTTCCTAACTGTAGTCTTCCCCTTTTCTAGGACTCTTGTGCCTTATCCGCTTATCTTGGATTCCGATATCTTCGGAGGTAACCTCGGCCTCGCCGAGATAACCTCGGCGTCATGACCAGGACACGTGGCACCTCGGCTAACACGTCGGCGTCACCTTAGCCACGTGTTGGTACTCAGAAAATATGTCCCCACATGAGATAATATTCATTGAAATAGCACACAATTGTGCATACAACACTACCATCACTTGTTTCATCAAAATTGCAATTAAATTGATTGCTTTCATATACACAAGGAATATTGGAGACCATATAATGAAGAAAAAAAAGTTAAGCATTATTAAGCAATTAACAACAAAAAAATTATGAAAAATCTTGATTTTTTCTTCCTTCTCTGCATTTCATTGTTGGTGTGTGAACATATCATCCCAACACATGCCACACTTGATCTTCTTGTGTTATGCTGGTATATGGAACTTTGGCTCTCTGGGTATGGTGCAATGCTTCATCGACCTGAAAATAACCTGAAACAAACAAGGGACATCGTTATATTTACAGCACTTATACTAGTCAAATAATGCATTAGAAAACTTCTAGATTTGAGGTTTATTTTACAAAATTGGAGATCCAAACAACACCTGACTAATAAAATATGCTGGAAAAGTTGCAACCACAGTAAGTGACACTGAGGGGAAAAAATGTATATAAAAAAATAAGAAAGAAAGCAATGTATACAAACTACATATTGTTTTTTAAGAATCATTTGAAGGAGAGGGTCTATTTGAAGTCTTTAATAGGAGAAGTTATCTGGCAGGTTCAGCTTTCCGCGCCCACCAAAATAGACATGATATCTTCTTGTATAGAAAATAGAAACAAGTGGATCATATGTTTTTCTAATATTGAAAAGACACACCATGTGTCCTATAGGCCAAACCTACTGGATAATTTTTCTATTCATTAGGTTTTTTGGTTATCCATATTCAAATGCAAAGCCACGTATAACAAAAGAAGTTTTTAAAAATTTTGGATTTTATCTGGTACCTTCTAGGGATGAAAGGCCTGTCGAAATAGGGCATGAGTTGAGCTCTTGGAATGAGCTCCTTTCTTAGTCTCCTGATTTCCTCTTCTTCTGCTAACTACAGGAGCAAAACCCAACATGCACACATATATCAGCAAACCACCAAGACTAATATCACCAAAACACACCCATAAGGTTTTTTCTGTCATGTACCTTTTGTTGTCTTTCCCTTTCCTCCCTGTACTGTTCAATAAGGCTCATCTTCTTAGCCACCTAATATGCAATCACAGAAGCAAAATTAAAGGGCAATTCAATAAAGGGCATTTCATTATTGCCATGTAATATGCGCGAGAACGTGGAATCTTGTAGATTTAGTGAATGGTAAAGACTTTAGTAATGACACAATGCCAACACTATATGTGATAGGTAAGTGAAGTTATGGTCATTATACCCAAAACAATTGATTAATACATGAAAACCCTGAGTAAAAATATTTAAAGAAAGTTAAAAATTCACCTGTTGGTCAAACTCAGCACGCTCCACAGCCCTCACATCGCTATGCAGCACCAGATCAACCGGTCTTGTGATTTCTTTGACTGCAGGTTTTACTAAGCACTGCAATACCATCGACCACATCAATTCAAATGAACTTGGGAGAGTCCAGACATGCATATTAGCCTTATTACTTAAACTGTCGACTACAAGCATTTGGCAAAGCATGGCATAAAATAATTCAACCTGGCATTTTTGCACCCCAAAAGAATATATATATATATATATATAAATCCAGTAAGTTGCCTTTCGAACATTCCCAATAATATTTCATATTTTTCGGAAGTCGATAGCATTTAAAATGAGTTGCTTTTTTCTATAGTTGTTCAATCTTAACCTCAGTGATTATGGTGTTTTGACTTCATTTGGAAAGATGACACAAAGTCTATAAAATTTGTTCGATATGGATTTGGGCATAGCGCATCCAACAAAAAGCATATATTCATGCTACACATTTCAACAAAATATTACACATGAAATTAAAGATAGAAACATTTGCACAACAAAGTGAAACTTCCAAAAAAAATTTCTCCTCAAATTAAATGGAATTACCTCTGGCTCATCTACTATCCATGGGAGACCTTGTGCAATTGGTATTCGTTGCTTTTCCTCCTCCATCATCATTTGTTGTAATTTCTT